GATTCTTCATTACTGATAACAGTTTCTCTTAGAGCGTGTGCTTCAACAAGGCCTGGTGTCAGTGTAGATTCAGCAAAAACTCCAGCACCAACGAATTGTTGTCCGTCAGTTGAGAAATCAGTAGGAATGGCAGCTGCAGAAGAAAGATCCAGGGTGGAAGCTGCAGAACCAAGTTGCAAGCCAGGGCGGGACGGGGCCGTGAGACTATATCCCTGGGGAGCAGCAAACGCCGCAGTAGCGAACACCGAGATAAGAACCTGTAAAATTAATTATTTATAAAGAGTGAGTCTAAAATATCCATATTAATCTCCGACGAGGTTTATCTTGCTTTAGGTATATTATCCATTGAAAAACAATATCAAGTTCTTATGAGAAACGGAAGGACTCACCAGAACCTTCATGTTGGTGAGCTGTATCTTCCTGAGGGTTGGCAAGCTTATATACTTAACGGAAACCGCAGCGTACTTGAATCGTGCCCTATCATTTCAGCATTTTAAACACCAAATAACTTCAGGCATGATGAAGGTCGTCATGGTCATGCAGCCTCCTTTCTATTTATGTTTCAAACGGGGAGCTTGAAGATAGAAAAAAAGGCATAAGGTTGTTGTAGATCAGTGGTTCCCAACCTCTTTTACTCCCGCACCCTTATCAAAATTTTACTGTCCTCGCATCCCCTTTAAATTTATAGATTATTTATGGAGAAAAAAGGTGAATTGATACTAAATAGGATCAACTAGAGAATATATAATAATATATATTATATATATTATATATATATATATATATATATATATATATATATATATATATATATATATATGTGTATATATGTATATGTATATATATATATATTTATATATTTATATATGTGTATATATGTATTATATATATATATATATATATATTATATTATATATATATATATATATATATATATATATATATATAATTTTCTAATAAAATGCTAACAGAAATCAAAACACATGGACATAAAATATTTTCCAGATTATTTGAATAATCCTACAAAAGTAATCACTTACTTGAATATATATATACATATAAAAATCAAAGAACTAACCTTATAAAACGTTTTATTAAGTTAATTTCCAATTC